GTAATTAGAAGGGTTATCAATATTACATTGACAGATAGTCTGCTCCTGGAAATATCCCAGTGGATTAGCTCATTAGGTAAACTCCCCCTCTTCCCTGCCCTGACTTTGTGAAAATGTTGGGCCCAAAACCGCTTGCTGTTGTGTTTAACTAGCTGTCCCACATAGATTAGCTATTTTTCCCATGCCAGCCTTTGGGATCTTGCTGCTGTAAATGACGAACTACGCTTGACAGCAATTACCTGTGAAGTGCTTTCAGATGTTTTATGATTGAATATAATTTACATTTATGTAGTGTTTTTCACATCTGAAGGATGTTTTGATGTGAAAAGGCACTCATTTTGGAAACAAAAATTGCAATGCAATTGCAAAATGACTTGAAAATGCATTTGAATAGGGACATGAAGGGTTATTACAAAGTACCTACCAAAACTAAACAGGAATTTACAATGATATTTTAAGGATGCCAACAGTAAGTAGACTTTTGTTACCAAGTAATCTAGGGCCCAATCTCAAGTTAATGCTTCATTCCATTTCTTTGTAGGTGACATTGGACCAAATTGCAGCTGCAATACAAATGCCTGCGCTATTTTCTACAACAGTTCCCATTATATGTACCCGTTCAACATTGAGTTCCACGTCTTTGCATCTGCCATGCTTTACGTTATGTGGAAGAACTTTTGGGCGCTCCCTGGAAGAGCACAGAGCTCTGAAAGTTACCTTTAGGACCTACAGTCTAATGATAGGTCCAGTTCTGGGAACTGCAATGCTGGGATTCTCATTGTGTACAGCTCACAGGTGGGACATTCAACAAAGCAACGAGTGTCAGCTGTAGTTATGCTTTCTCTATACGGTATCACGGTGCTTTGCTTAATGTCTGCAGCAGCTGCAGCCGGCCTGGTCTTTTATAGAGTTGACAAAAGATCCCTGGATTATTGCAAAAACCCCACCAGGAAGTTGGATGGCAATCTGCTGGTGCGCACAGCATGCGCCTCTTGGTTTATATCCTGGTGTTCCATCATGGCTGCTATTTGTGGGGAAACACAGTCCCCTCACAATAGGCTGAACTTGTCATTCTCTGTCCTGGTCATCACTGAGAAATACCTACAGATTATGTTTGTAATTGAATCCCTTTATCGGAAACATGGTGAAATGGATGGGGAAGTGGGGATGATTCAAGGGATATTCACAGTATCGAGTTCCAATAATCTCCCTCTGAAATGTTCATATTGCGGGATCCTCAACAAAGCCTTTGAGACTTTGGATAACCAGTCGTCATGCTCAGCTCCTCAGTGCGTTTCTCTGTCTAAACCTTCCCGCGATTGGGTTGAGAACAGCAAGGGATACAATAGTGACCTGAGTTTTTCTCAAGACTCTGCTTCTTCTCCTCCTTCTCCTCCTCCTCCTCCTCCTCACTCAAGCTTAAGGAAGTTGGAGAAACTGAACAAGAGACAGTTCCCCAAGAATGTTGCTGCCTTTTTATTCCTGTGCAATATTTCAGTGAGAGAAATTTAGCAACAAATTGCATTTTGAAAACAAGTGAAAAATTTCTTTTCAGTTTTCATTCATAAGTACCACCCTTATTGCCCCTTCCCCCCCAACCTTTCTTTACTCAGTAACTTCTAATTCAATGAATGCTTAAACGTGTCTTCAAAATATGTCACACTCAACATGGAGATCATAACATGTATGTACTCAGGTAAAGTATTTCTGAAAATGCTGGATAGGGACCATTGTATTGTCAGAGGTGCTGTGTTTGGGATGAGCTGTTAAAGGTCCCGTCTGCCTGTTCAGGTGGACCTTAAAGATCTATTGACACCACTTGATCAGAGAAGAGAGAACCTGATTTGAATCTTAAATACTTTACCAGCAGCGTCGCACAAACAGTCGTAGATTGAAAATGACCAATTTATTATTGTTTTTTATTTTGGAGGGATTATTATTAGGTGTGTGGAGTAAGGAAACTTGCCCAAGGTTTCGCCCTGCTGGGAATTGAACCCAGGTGTCTCGCCTGTGAGGGGGTCAAGCAGAGATGGGAGGCGGGGAGGGCAGAAAGAGAGCAGGACAGAGTGGAAGAGATGCAGGGAGGGGGGCATTTTGAGGGAGGGCCAACTCGGGTTGGGGGCGGCAGCCAAGATGCGCGCTCTGGGATGAAAGGCAGCAGATTAGTGGGATATTGTCAGCCTGCAGGAGGCTGTGGGGGCTCGAGGTGGCGCAGACGGGTGAGGGCACTCATTGTGGTGAGCAACGAGCAGCCTACAGGGGAAGCACAGGCGAGGGAGATAGACAGACGATGAGAGGGAGGGAGACACTGGTATAAGTTATACCAAAACTGCTACCAGGGATTCAAACCTGGCGGGTGGAAGTGGCGTCAGACAGAATGACGGGGAAATCTGAAAGTTCAAAATGGCAGCTCCACCTAACCAGGTAATATTGGCCGCCACTCGATCCCCGAGACCCCGGCCCCGAGACACCCGCCCCACCTCAGGGTCCGCGAGACCCCGGCCCAGTCTACAGCTACCGGCCGGCCCCTGCCTCTGGCTAACGCTGGTCCCCAGGACCCCGAACCTGCCTCGAGCTATCGCCGGCCCCAATCCCCGAGACACCGGCCCAACGTGAGCTGTCACCTCCCTCTCTCTCCGCCCTCCCCCCCTCTCTCCCCCTCGCTCTATTCCCTCCTCTCTCTCCCAATCTCACTCCCGTCTCCTCTATCTCCCACCTTTCTCTCACCACCTCGCGTTCCCCCCCTCGCTCTCCCACTCTCGCTCTCCCCCCCTCGCTCTCCCCCTCTTTCTCCCTCCCCCTCCCCCTCTCTACCCCCTCTCTCTCTCCCTCTGTCTCCCCCCCTTCTTCTCTCTTTTCCCTCCCTCTCTCTCCATCCTCCCTCTCTCTTCTCCCTCCTCTCTCTCCCCCTCTCTCCCCCTCCTTCTGTCTCCCCTTCTCTCCCCCTCCTTCACTCCTCACCTCCTTCTCTCTCGCCCCTCCCTCTCTCTCCCCCACTTCCTCTCTCCGTATCTCTATCTTTCTTTCTCTCCCCGCGCTCTCTCCCTGTCACTCTTTCTCCCTCACTCTCTCTTACCCTCTCTCTCCCGCCTCTCGCTCTCCCCCCTCTCTTTCCCCACCCTCCTCTCTTCTCCCCTCTCCCCCTCCCACCTCCTCTCTCTCTCTCTCTCCCCCCTCCCTCTCTTTCTACACCCCACCCCTCTCTCTCCTCCCTCTGTCTCTCTCCCCCCCCTCTCTCCTCTCCCTCTCTCTCCACTGTCTCTCTCCTCCATCTCTCTCCCCTCCTTCTCTCTCCCCCCTCTCCCCCATCTCTCTCTCTCCCCCCCCCCCCATTTCGCTCTCCCCCCACTCTCTCTATGATCTCTCACTCCCCCATCTCTCTCTCACCACTCTCTCTCTCCCCATCTCTCACTCCCCCATCTCTCTCTCCCCCTCTCTCTCCCCTCTCTCTACCCCATCACTCTCTCCCCCCACCAATCTCTCGCTCTTCCCCACACTCTCTCCTAATCTCTCTCCCAAGTGCAGGTCATTATCTGCAGGGAGAGGAGCCGATGGTTGGTTGATGCTAATCTTTTCTCATACACTCTCTTTGCCCCTCTTACTTCTTTTTTCAGTTCACCTCTGCACTTTCTGTATTCTGCTTCAATCTCTCATGTATTTTGTACCTTACATTCATTATCAGCCTCCTTTTTCTGTTTCATTTTAATGCCAAATTCATTCGTCATTCAGGGAGATCTCGCTTTGGATGCCCTGTCTATCTCTCTCAATGTGTTTGGTCTGTACCCTAACTATCTCCTCCTGGAAGGCCTCCCATTGCTCGTTTACAACAACAACAAAATTACATTTGTAGAGCGCCTTTCACATCGGGAGGACGTTCCAAAGCGCTGGAGTGTCAGTGTTTCGGACCTGAGCTGGGGGGTCGGGATCCGGGAGAGTGTAGGGCAGTGGGGAAGCAGGGTGATTGAAGGCACGGTCAAAGAGGAGGGTCTTGAGACGGGTTTCAAAGGAGGCAAAGGAGTGGCGAGGCGGAGGGACTATGGGATAGAGTTCCAGAGGGTGGGGGCAGAATGGCACATCCCTACTCTCTGTTTCCTGCCTCCAAACCAATTACCAAGCCACAGCTCCAACTCCATGCTCTTCTATTTTCACTAATAATCTTTCATGCGGAACCTTATCAAATACCTTCTGTAAGTTCACACAAAAACGTCATCCATGTACACTGTCTTATTTACCATTTTAGTGACCGCCTCAAAAAATTCAACAAGAATAGTCAGACATGACCTACCCTTCACAAACCCATGCTGACTGTCTTAGAATACTAACTCTGATCTCTTAGCATTCATGTAAATAAAGGAGCCTTTGACAAGATTTGCTCTGGGACAGACCCAATCATTATTTTCTCTCATGATTAGTTAATCTCATTTTGACAAACAAATAATAAAAACATTGCTAATTTGGCTTTAGAAGAATTGAAAATAAAAAAATCCACGTAATGTATTTAAGATCTAACTTCATAGATAAACTATTGTACAAGGTTAGTGAGTGGCAAGTATATATATATATATATGTGGGAATTCTCAGTCCGGTTTGGATTACTCTTAAGCATGATGATTGATTTCAGACACTGAGCTGACACCCTTGTATCAGACACCAAGCCGACCAACAGAAATGAAAATTGGTGTAACATTTTATCATTTGAGTTGGGATTGATGATATCCCAGGAAACTCTGGAGGAAACCAAGTGGGGAAAGGAAGGAGCGTGAGTTTGCAACAGGCAACTTAATGCTCTGACTTATGGAGCACAGTACAGCACAGCACAGCAGAGCGCAGCAGAGCGTCTGAAGGGCTGGGTTGGCTGTTAACCATGACGAGTTACAGTGCAAGTGCGATGCGAGGCCTCCGGACTGCGGGTGGTGCTAAGGCAGGCTCGAGAGCGCCTGGGTTCGGAGCATGGGGTTTGCGGTGGTTTGCCAATCAGGGGATTGAGAATGGGCTGACGCTGACTGACGCTCTCACACACCCACACAGAGACAGGCAGGGAGGGGAGGGAGGAAGGGAGGCAGAGGGGCTGACATTCACTGCTGCAGATCAGCGGCTGATCATTGCTCACAGGAGACAGACAGATGGCAGCGGCTCACAGTGTTATCGTGTATGGAGGGAAAGGCGCCCTGGGAGCCAAGTGTGTGCAATTCTTCAAAGCCAAGAGCTGGGTAAGTAGCGAACAACTGCAACCACTGAGCTGCAAAAGGTGTGGGGAGGCAACTTTATTCCAACCCCCCCCCCCCCCCCCTCCACCCCGCCCTGGCAATGCAAATCACTCTCACATTTTGAGACTAAATGTGGCAACTTGATATTTTTTGCGTTTTTTGTATTCAAAATAAATAAATGAAGCAATCAATCAATTCATTCATTAATTGATCTGATTAATCGGATTAATTCATTAAAGAGATCTGGCTTCGCGTTTGCACTCAAATCCGAGGCTGGTCTGTGACACGGGTCAAAGTTCAGTGCAAAATTTTTTGTTTTAAATTTCTTATTTTATTTCGTGTTTGGGACATTTTTGAGCGTTTTTATCTCGAGCGAAGTAGGATCTTGGGTTTTGCCCCCCCCCACTCCCCACCCCAAAATAAATATACAGTCAATTCAGTTTGCAGTATATATTCTGTGAAGTACTTTCAGGCGTATCAACAATGTGATAAGGCGCTATATGAAATGCAAAGATTATTATTCTTATCAATCCATTCTGTCTCTCCATCCCCCTTCCCATTTTGCTATGATTTTCCTTACAGTGGGTTACCTCCATTGATCTTACCCCTAATGAAGAAGCCAATGCAAATGTGGTGGTGAAAATGTGTGACTCCTTCACAGAGCAGGCGGAGCAGGTAAGCGATACACTCTTTAGTCTGCGGGGAGACATCTGGTAAATGAAACTGTCACTGACAGACACAGGAGAGTGGGTGAATACAGTACTGCTGTACTCTAATTGTAAATGACAGACACATGAGGTGTGGGTGAATAATTCTCTGTATCTGTAACTGACAGGCACCGCAGGAGCAAGTGCAGGATACAGTCTATCCGGCCTGCTTTGCGTCCCACGCCTCGCTCGCCCCTCTGGCGGGCCTTCTGCCACTCTGCCCCCACCCTCTAGAACTCCATCCCGCAGTCCCTCTGCCTTGCCCCCTCCCTTGCTTCCTTCCAGACCCATCTCAATTGTCCAGCGTCTCGGGACGTCCTCCCGACGTGAAAGGCGTTATAGAAATGTAATTTTGTTGCTGTTGTTTTTGTAGTGGACGAGATAAATGACACCATGTCATCGATGGGCAAAGGAGAGCAAGTAAATGATACAGTGTCACAAGTAAAACATAATTTGTGACAATAGCATAATATTTTGGGACAGAATGGGAGTGATACATTGTGTGTATATTTTGAGAAAGAAAAGAAGTGATACAATGTCATATGACTGTCGTATGATCATGGCCCGCACATACTTATAAAGGGTTGGCTACTACAGTATAACATAGAATTACTTTTTAAAAAAACTGAGGTATGCTCTGACGTTAGGCTCTCTTTCTGGCCTCTGACACATTCTGCTCTCAGTTATTATTATGGATAATCTCAATACCTTTAGTTGCTGGTGGTTCTATCAACGAGATGTTTGTCTGTTATGCATTAAATATTTTTAAGAATCTGCCTGGCCCTCTCATCTTCATAGGTAACAACAGAAGTTGCCAGCCTCCTTGGGGAGAAGAAAGTGGATGCCATACTGTGTGTAGCAGGGGGATGGGCAGGTGGCAGTGCAAAGGCAAAATGTAAGTGTGTCCATGTCAGTGGAAGGAAATCTTCATTCACAATTTGTACTTGATGAACAAGAACAAACCCTCACATAGTACAACAACAAGATTACATTCGTATAGTGCCTTTCACGTCGGGAGGATGTTCCAAGGTGCTGGACAGTGTACAGCATTTCAGACCCGAGCTGGGGTCAGGGGGGGAGAAGGGTGCGGAGGGGAAGGGGGTTGACTGATAGCATGGTCGAAGAGGAGGGTTTTGAGGTGGAACTTGAAGGAGGCTAAGGAGGGGGCGAGGTGGAGTGATTGGGGGATAGAACTCCAGAGGTTGGGGGCAGAGTGGCTGAAGGCTCTCCTGTAAATGGTGAGGCGGGTGGTTTGGGGGATGTGGAGCAGGCCAGAGCCGGCTGAGCGGAGGGAACGGGAGGGTTGGTAGGGAGTTAGGAGGTCGCAGAGATAGGGTGGGGTGAGTCCATGGAGGGCTTTGAAGGTGAAGACCAGGATCTTGAACTGGATCCTCTGAAGGATAGGAAGCTAATGGAGTTGGGTAAGAGTGGGGGAGATGGGGTCATGCAGTTTGGTGCGGGAGAGGACACAGGATGCAGAGTTCTGGATTATCTGCAGCTTGTGGAGTGAGGAGTCGGGAAGGCTGACAAGCAGGGCGTTTGCATAGTCAAGTCTGGAGGTGATGAAGGCATGAACAAGAGTAGTGTATTTTATCCAGAAGTCCCGCATAGGTAGGGGACTACATGATATAAACTCAGCATAAATTTTGCCCACAACATATACAGTCAATTCACTCTTCTGTATATTCTGTTAAGTGCTTTGAAACCTCTCAATGACATGATAAGGCACTATATCAAATGCAGAGATTATTATTAATATTACTGTCAATCCATTAACCTCAATTATGTGTTGTATACTTTAACACTTGTACACATAGGTTGTTTTACCCAGTAAAACACAGGAATACATAAACTATGTTATGATAATTGATCTCCAGAGAAAACTCAGACAGTACCTCATTGCTGTTATGGATTGAATGTTTACTAAACAATGTTAAATCTAATACTACTTTTTGGTGTCAGTCTGGCTCAGTTGGTAGCACACTCACCTCTTTGAACATTTTGAACACATAATCTAGGTTGAGATTATGATGCAGCTTTAGCAGCACACTGCATTGACGGAGATGGCATCCTTCGGATGAAATGTTAAACTAAGGACATGTCTGTCTCTTCAGAAGGATGTTAAAGATCTCATTACTACTAAGAGAAGAGAATTTCTCCCGGTTTCCTGGCCAACATTCCCCCAGATAAAATTGATCATTCACACCATGGCTGTGTGTGAGTCATTGCTGTGAATAAATTGTCTGCCACATTTGGTTACAAAATACACAGTAATAATACTCTATGTAAATTCTGTGAAGCACTTTTGGACAATATGATAAGGTGCTACATCAAATGCAAAGCTTATTATATATTATTGTTTCTCAAAGCCCTTTATAAAAATACTGACCTGATGTTGAAGCAAAGCGTGTGGACGTCAACTATTTCCAGTCACTTAGCTACAAAGCATCTTAAAGAAGGAGGCTTGCTGACACTAGCCGGAGCCAGTCCTGCCTTGAGTGGCACACCAGGTAAGTGAAACTGTAGAAATGCAGAGTAACATATCAGTAACATAGAGTAAATCACTGTCAACCAACTGTGTGGTTTGGATGTTACAACCCACACCTGAAAGTAGCCACCTCAATGCATTTATTCCATGGTAGTATATTATCCCATACAAATATGATTTCATGATTTTAATTTTCCAGTGTATTTTAACAAGGTTTTGTCTTGACATCACAGTAGAAACAGCTTCATCTGTTGCATATATAAAATGCATTTTGTACATTGAAGAATTTGCCAAATTCTGCTCACTCTGAATTATTAAGACAACAATGTAGATCTAGCCAGAGTGAAATACCCCCCTCCCATCTTCAATTGTGCACTTTCAGCACTAGGGTCACTTTTTAGCAATTGACAGTCCAAAATTATAATCACCAGTAATTTTGGAAAGTCATTTTCATTTTTGAGAAAGAGTGCATATATTTTGCATATATTTTGAGAGTTATTAAGGAAAATTTGTCCTTTGAAATTGAAGAAGTTTTGAATTTCCTTATTCAGCTCAGCTCTTGTCTTTGGGTCAGAAGACTGTGGATTCTAACCCGACTAAAATTTGAGCTCATAGTCTTCACTGATATTTCAATGTAGCACAGGGTGGATGGTTAGGCGTGCAGTTGTAGTTGTTCAGATGAGAAGTTAGAGCTAACGTTTGTCTACCTGTTCATGTGGCTATATAAAAATCCCACAGTGATGTATTGAAGAAGAACAGAGGGATCTTTTGAAGTCCTGACCAATATTCCTCCGTTATCAAAAGATGAATTGATCAATCATCTCTTACCTATTTCTGAGTGTTTACTGGCACAGTTTAACTTCCATGCTTTCTAACATATCACAGCAAAGTAGTTCATTGTGCAAAGTACTTTTTGAGATATGTTCGTGAGATCAGGCACTTTGTAAAATGAAGTAATGTTTTGTTTCATTACATTACATACCTTATGACAAACAAGGTGGTATATTAAATGGACCATGGTACACGCACAAGTTGTTTTGGAGATTTAGACTGGTGTAATGTTTGTGTACTTTGATTCAGTCTTTGCTTGGAGGCAGTTAAAATTGATTCAGCAAATTTTAGATATGGTAGAACTGCAAGGTTTAACCTTGATCTAATCAGCCAGGGCTGAGCACCTCTGAGGGTAATGATCTGTGGCTCTTTCCTAACTCACTGACCTTGGTCTGTGCATTTACTGCTTTTTAATCAATTATTTTTCATGGCATTCAATGACCATGATTATTGGTTTAATGGCTATGTGATTATTGGGTTTGGGCTATTTTAATGAAATCCATTTACTGACTTCATGTGACCTCTATGTCGACAATCCATTTGTTAAAAGTAAAGCCTAAAAGTACATTTCACATTTATTTTTAACTTGAAGTCAGGAGCAGAGGCATGAGAGTGAGGGGCAGTGCCTAGACCGAGCCGTGGGGATAAAAGCCACAGAGAGGAGAGGCTCAGATAAAAAACCAGCGAGAAAATTAAAAAGTGACGTCAGAGCGACGTCACACTCAAAACATTCTGAAAGAATAAACTAACAGCTAACACTAACTACTAACTAGCAGTAAACTAACACTAACTACTAACTAACAGTAAACTAACACTAACTAACAGTAAACTAACACTAACTACTAACTAACAGTAAACTAACACTAACTATTAACTAACAGTAAACTGACAGCTAACACTAACTACTAACTAACAGTAAACTAACACTAACTACAGAGGGCAGTCTGAGCCCGGGCGACCACATCTGCAGCAAACGTCTGCAACTGAGGCAGCTCCAGCTCAGTGTCCGAGCTGGAATCCATGGTGCAGACATTGCGCACCATCAGGGACAGTGAGTGCTTCCTGGATAGTTTCATCCTGGAGCCAGTCACTCCCCCGAGACTCAGGGAATGTATAGATAATAGTATCAGTCAAGGACAGGATAGGGTGTTTGACAGCCAGGAGATTAGGGGAACATCAGAGAGGGTGGTAGTGAAGCCTCAGGCTTTAACCTTGGCCAACAGGTACGAGATCCTTGCAACCTGTGTGGACAAGGAAGCCTGTGTGGAGGAAGGAAAACGTGATTCCAATATTAAGGGAAACAAACAGAAAGTTGTCGTAATTGGGGACGAGACTATCAGGCGGACAGATACACTTATCTGCAGCTGCAACCAGGAGACCCGAAGGCTCTGTTGCCTTCCTGGGGCCGGGGTGAAGGATGTCTCGGCGGGGCTGGAGGAGAATCTAAAACATGAGGGCGAGGATCCATTGGTGGTACTTCACATAGGTACCAATGACATAGGTAGGGTTAGTTGTGATGATTTGAGGAGGGAGTTCAAGAGCTGGGAACTAAATTAAAACAAATGAACATCAAAGGTAGCGATATCAGGATTGCTGCCTTGGACATGTGCAAATTGGTACAGGAATAAGCAAATTAGAGAGTCAAATACATGGCTGAGGGAGTGGTGTGGAACGCAGGGGTTTCATTTTATGGGCTACTGGCACCAGTATTGGGGGAAAAGTGGTCTATTTCAAAAAGATGGGCTCCACTTAAATCAGGCAGGGACAAATGTGCTAGCAAACCGAATACGTAAGGAGCTAAATAAGGCTTTAAACTAGTAAAGGGGTGGGGGGGATGCAATTACAAATAATTGCAAGCCAGCAAAATTAAGAAAACTAAAGATGGCAGAACAGAATAGTGAGAGTGATAAACAGAATAGGTCAAAGAGGGATAAGAAGCTCAGTAAAGAAGATAGGACAGCAGAGAGTAGAGGAAATGGTAAGAAATTAAAATTGCTATATCTGAATGCACGAAGCATTCAGAATAAGATAGATGAATTAAAGGCACAGATAGATACAAACAGGTATGATCTAGTAGCCATTATTGAGACATGGTTACAGGGAGAGCTAGGGTGGGAGTTAAATATTCCGGGGTTTTCAGCTTATAGGAAGGATAGACAATGTGGAAAACAAGGTCGGGGGATAGTCTTGTTAATAAAGGATGGAATAAAAACAGTAGAGAGGAAAGATTTCAAATTAGATAACCAGGATATAGAGATGGTATGAGTAGAATTACAAAATAACAAGGGGCAGAAAACAGTAGTGGGGGTATTATATAGAACCCCAAACAGAGATCACAGCATAGCACAGGGTATTAAATCAGGAAATTAGAGGCGCATGTAGCAAAGGTAATACAGTAATAGTGGGTAATTTCAATCTTCACATAGATTGCGAAAACCAAATCGGCAAAAGTAGGGTAGAGGAGGAGTTTATAGAATGTATGAGAGATAGCTTTCTGGAGCAGTATGCTGAGGAACCATCCTAGACCTTGTTTTGTGTAACAAAACAGGGCTAGTCGGTAATATAGATATTAAGGCTCCTCTAGGGTAAAGTAATCATAACATGATAGAGTTTAGTATTAAGTTAGAGAGCAATGTAGTCAAATTCGAAGCAAGGGTCTTAAATTTAAATAAAGCTAACTTTGCAGGTATGAGGAAAGAATTAGCTAAAATAGACTGGGGAATTAGATTAATGGATATGACAATAGACCAACAGTGGCAAACATTTAAAGATGTTGTGCAAAATTCTCAGCGGTCACATATTCCCTTGAGGAATAAGAGTACCACAGGGAAAGCAGTTCATCCGTCGCTAACTAGAGCAGTTAGAGAAAGTACAAAACTAAAAGAAAAGGCCTATAAAACTGCCAAAAACAGTAGCAAATCAGAGAACTAGGAATATTTTAGGGACCAACAAAAGAAAACCATAAAGCTCATTAAGAATGAGAAAATGGATTATGAGGGCAAGGAACATTAAGACAGATTGTAAGAGTTTTTATAAATATATTAAGAGGAATAGGCTAGCAAAAGTAAATGTGGGTCCATTACAGGCAGAGACAGGAGGAATTATAATGGGGTAAGGATATGGCAGAGTCCCTAAATAAATACTTTGCTTCTGTCTTCACGTTAGAAGACACAAGAAGTTTACCAGAAATAGAGATGAACCAAGGGGCTAATGATACAACAACAACAACAACAAGATTCCATTTATAAAGCGCCTTTCACGTCAGGAGGACGTCCCAAGGCGCTGCACAGTTGGGTCATGACCCGAGCAGGGGGAAATGGTCAGGGTGAGGAAAGGGAGGGAGCGAGGAGGGGGGAAATGGTCAGGGTGAGGGGAGGGAAGGGAGGGAGCGAGGAGGGGGAAGAGAGTCGAGAGGGAGCTGAAGGCACGGTCAAAGAGAAAGGTTTTGAGACCGGCCTTGAAGGAGGAAAGGGAGGAGGCGGCGAAGGCACTGGGGGATGGAGTTCCAGAGCCTGGGGGCTGAAAGGCTGAAGGCCCGACCACCGATGGTGGGGCGGTTGGGGCGGGGGACGTGGAGCAGACCAGAGCCAGAGGAACGGAGGGTACGGGCAGGTAGGTAGGGGGATAGTAGGTTGGAGAGGTAGGAGGGAGCAAGGCCGTGAATGGCCTTGTAGGTGAGGATGAGGATCTTGAAATCAATCCTCTGGGGGATGGGGAGCCAGTGGAGGCGAGCGAGGGTGGGAGTGATGTGGTCCCGAAGCCTGGTGCGGGACAGTACACGAGCTGCAGAGTTCTGAATGACCTGCAGCTTGTGGAGGGAGGTGCGGGGAAGGCCGGCGAGGAGAGAGTTCCCATAGTCCAGCCTTGAGGTGACAAAGGCGTGGACCAGGGTTTCAGCAGCGTGAGGGGTGAGGTAGTGCCGTAGTCTGGCGATATTCCGGAGGTGATGGAAGGCGGTGCCAGTTGTAGTGCGGATGTGAGGGAGAAAGGACAGCTCAGGGTCGAACAAAACGCCGAGGTTCCTGACTGGCTTTGAGAGGTGGAGAGTACAGCCTTGGATGCTGATGGTGTCAGCGCCTGAGGTGCGGAGGCACTGACGTGAGCCAATCAGGAGGGCCTCGGTTTTTCGCACGTTGAGCTGAAGAAAGTTGTCTCTCGTCCAGGACTCGATGTCGGACAGGCAGGCTGTCAGGACATCGGTGGTCGTGGAGTTGAGAGTAGAGGAGGAAAGGTAGAGTTGGGTGTCATCCGCATACATGTGGAAGTTAACTCCATGTCTGCGGATGATGTCACCGAGGGGGAGCATATAGAGGGTGAAGAGGAGGGGACCGAGGACAGAGCCCTGAGGGACACCACATGAGACAGTACGGGGGGTGGAGGAGAAGCCATTCGTTGAGACAAAGTGAAGACGGTGAGAAAGGTACGACCTAAACCATTCAAGGACAGTGCCTTGAAGGTTGAGTTGGGAGGACAAGCGGTGGAGTAGGATAGCGTGGTCGACCGTATCGAATGCTGCCGATAGGTCGAGGAGGACGAGGAGACAGAGGGAGCCCTGGTCACAGATAGGGAGCAACTTAGGGAAATTTACATTAGCAAAGAATTGGTGCTAGGGAAATTGTTGGCATTAAAAAGTGACAAGTCCCCTGGACCTGATGGTTTGCATCCTAGGGTTTTAAAAGAGGTAGCTCACGAGATAGTGGAGGCCTTGTGTCTGATCTTCCAAAATTCTTTGGATTCTGGAACAGTTTCCATTGATTGGAAGATCGCAAACGTCACACCACTATTTAAGAAGGATGGGAGAGAAAAGATGGGGAACTATAGACCAGTTAGTCTGACATCGGTGGTAGGGAAAATTCTAGAATCCTTAATTAAGGACGTCGTAGTGGGATACTTAGAGGATCACAATATGATTGGACAGAGTCAACATGGCTTTACAAAAGGGAAGTCATGCTAAACAAATCTTTTAGATTTTTTTGAGGACATATCAAGTAGATTAGATAGGAGGGGAGTCAGTGGATGCATTGCATTTAGATTTCCAAAAGGCATTCAATAAGGTGCCGCATAAAAGGTTGATGCACAAGATTAGGGCCCATGGAATTAAGGGGAATATATTAGCATGGATTGAAGAATGGCTAATGGGAAGAAAACAAAGAGTAGGGATAAACGGGTCCTTCTCAGATTGCGGGATGTGACTCGTGGAGTGCCACAAGGATCAGTGCTTGGGCCTCAACTATTTACAATCTACATCAACGATCTAGATGAGGACATCAAACTTAATATATCTTAAATTCGCGGATGACTAAACTAGGAGGGAGAATAAACACCGAGGATGACATTAAAAAAATGCAACAAGATATAGATAGGCTAGGTGAGTGGGCAAATAGGTGGCAGATGAAGTATAATGTAGGGAAGTGTGAGGTCATCCACCTAGGTGTCAAAAACAGTAGAGCAGATTATTTTTTAGAAGGGGAGACACTAGATAATGTTTAGCATTCAGAGGGACTTGGACGTCCTTGTACACCAGTCACAAAAAGTTAGTTTGCAGGTACAGTAAACAATTAGGAAGGCTAACGGTATGTTGGCATTTATTACAAAAATGTTAGAATATAAGAGTAGGGAAGACTTGCTGCAACTGTATCGGGCCCTGGTTCACGGGGATGGACTAAGTACCCCAGAGAGGTGGGAGACTTGGCCAGGAGATTGGAGGGAGGTCGAAATCCCTGATATAATCTAGGCATTCACTTCATGGCTATGTGTGGGACATTGCTGTGAGTAAGTTATTCATCTACAAATGCACAGTCACTCCTCTCACACAATGTTTCTGTTGGTTGAGTGCATGCCTTTAGCTAGAATGATATGAGTTGCGGGGGGAGGGGGACTTTATAAAATCAAATAAGTTGTTTTGCAAAAGTAACACAACCCCTCACAGCTCAAGGGGTAAGTGGTATTGATCACTTCAGATGAGACTGGCCTTGGTTAGATCCATTAGCCTATGCTGAGTTATTTGATGTTAGGCAGGGCAACAGAAAGGACACCTGGAGTTGGTCTGAGAATCTATTATAAAGAGAAGGATTTAGCCAAGTAAGTGTGCTGTTCCCAATGAGTTTTTATTGACCCCTGCTGAAAAGTGCATATGGACATTGGGTGACAACAGTTTGGACTTCAGGTAAGAACAGGGTGAAGCTGTTTTATCTTCTTCCCCAACCACTGCAATTGCACTTATTGTCTCCGTTCACTCATTAGTAATCACACCTGAAGACTATTTCCAGGGGCCATTTCCTTTAGGAAAGGAAATGTGGTGCAATACAATTTAGTTGAGATTGTCTCTTATTAGTATTATTATACATTATATTAACACTTGTGGTGTAAAGTGTTCAGAAAGTCAATACTATTTGTCAAGATACTGTCAATGACGATGAAACTAAGAGCACACACAATCTGTAGGGCTGCAGTGAGGAAATATTTGTTTTAAAGGAAAGGAGGATGACCATTTGCCTTGTCTTTTTACATTGAACTACATCCGACTGCAGCGCAAGTCCAGTTTTGTTTATAAACCATCTTCTATTCTCACAGGAATGGTGGGCTATGGCATGGCCAAGGCAGCCATTCATCAGCTGTGTCGGAGTCTGGCTGGAGAGAACAGTGGATTGCCACCCGGGACTGCTGCTGTCGCTATCCTGCCGTAAGTACTAGTAATTACAGTTCTTAGACTGGAGCGAGACTTGATAATATTAGCTCTCTGTGACATCCACGGGGAAAATTGCAGACAGCTGGCAACCAGCATCTGGTGTTAGATGACAGCAAATGAAGGAAGCAAAATAATAATGTGCTATTAGTTTTTTTTATATCGAATAAAAGGAAAACATTTGGAAAAATGTTCGCAGCTGAATGTTTCAGTGCTTTCTCAAACTGGAAGTCTTTTTTGAAGAGCTCTTGAGTTATTTTATGCAATTCCCAGAAACTTCATGTTTTAAGCCTATGATGTACAGAGATAATAAACTGGAATGCTGCTTCACAAAGCTATTGCACTATAACATTATTTAACCCCCCCACTCCCACCCTCAATTACATTACTGACTTGCAATTATTCTCAGGTATTCATCACTCTCCATGTAACCCAACTGGAAACCCCATACTATTTGAGATGTCCCCAGCAAAGCATGATCATTCTCACAATAAAATATTTATTTTAGAAAATAATCAGTGCTTGTAATTAGACTTAAGATAACACAGAATACAGTTATATAAACAATCTGCTGTTAGTATGCCTCCATATTCAACAGTGATCGATGGTGTAAGGGGTAAGACCATTCTAAATGCTAAAACATGGCATGATGAGTTAGTGAGAGTTAGCTATCACCACAAAAAGACACTGAAATTTTACATTGACCTTGTCTTGAGGTTTGTGCAATCAGTCACTATTACACTCCCCTTAAAAATCTGTGTTTCAATACAGTATGTGGCAAATACTTTATTTATCTGTCCATGGATTGTCATTTGCCATATTCATTTGTTAGTGACTGAACTAAGTGAGACCACAGGCAACCGGCTTTTGTATGGTGCTGTCATTCTGCCTGCCATCATCTTACAATTATATAGTTCTATGAGACTTTATTTTAATAGGATGCCAAATATCCACCTTCAGTGCCAGTCATCAGTAACTTCACTTTTTCATTTTGTTCTCCTGTTGAGATTTTATTTTAGTCATGGCAGAGAAACATTTGCTAAGCAAGGCTTTTACAAATATGATTTTGAAGCATTTTTATTCTTTCAGAAATGCCATCCCGGCTATCACACTGGATATTTGCCTTTTATGAGCATGTACTTTGCAGGGTTGTTGTGGGGAAATGTTACAAGTTCTGATGAAACAGAACTATTTCACTTATTTGTTTTTGGAAATATTGTCACTTTCACAGATGCTTTACTTACTAATTTGGTCATTAGTGTTCTCAGTTTACTATATCCAGGAGCTCATTGACCGTTGAAAACATTGAGAAGTGAATTGGTTAAATACTCAGGGAAAAAATAATATTAAAGAGTACAGGAAAAAAACAAAAGAATGGAATTAAAACAAGAAGGATTGTGGGGAGAGATAGCAACAGCACAGACATGATGGGCTCAATGGCTTCCTCCTGTGCAGTGAACTTCCTATTCTCTTTTTCTCTATTCTTGTTGGAAAATCTAATTTGAGATATTAACATGCCTTATTCTTTCAGGTGATTGAAATGAAACGAGACAATGGAAAGCAGTATCATGACGTATACTGGAAATTCAGATGGAAAAAAATGGGACTGATCCAATTTTAATTGGAAATGAGTCCACTAAGACTGAGGGCTGAGTTTACCTTTCAATTGCCAATTTCTGAATAATCTGGTGTCATCAGGGTTTCCCCATAGCAACGGAACACGTATATGACAAAGGTCGTTCAGCTAAATTTCATTTCTTTTGTAGTGTTACCTTGGATACACCAATGAACAGGAAATCGATGCCCAATGCAGATTTCAGCTCTTGGACACCACTAGAATTTATTGCTGAGTGAGTACCCAGATAAATCAATCATCTAGAGTCATTTCTCATCTGTTTGTTACTCTCTGGTAGTTTCCATCTGTACCCAGCTGCAGCTAAAATCCTTATTTGTCTAATTTAACTAGTACTGCATATTGCACGTAATGCTATCAGAACAGCTAACCTTTTCAAGAAACCAATCTGCTCTCCTGGTGATTTGTTTGCACATGCCAGAGAGTCTCACAGAAATGAATACTTCACAGTCAGAATGATGAGCAAAGGGCGAACGATTAAATAAAGCTGCAGCATCCTGTTTGCTTGGTTGCCTTTGAGGATTGGAGGAGTGGTCTGTGCAGAGCTTTCCCAGGAGATTGAAGGGTTGTGGTGTCCAACACAAATGTTATATTTTGTTATATCATGGGTTCTCTTAAAATGTATTTTGGAATGTGGATCCTGAGGTTTACTTACTAAAAAAATCCAAAATGCAGGCAGATGGCTGACTGGCTTGCTTTAAACAGACAGCTAATACCCATGCTAAAAAAAATCCGACTTCTGAGCTATTGAGTTGTTGCCAACATCACATTGCATAGGCACAGAAAGTGAAACAGGCGACTTCTGATAACCTGCAAGTTGGCCATTTCTAGGTTGGTTATCCGGGCACTCATACAGTGAATGCAGAAGAGCTGATAAGTGTTCCCATTCTCACCAACCATATCATTGTTGTGATTTTATAGATTACAACCACCATGTAATAATACGGCTGCTCATTAGGGAGTTTTATCCACCTTGCTAGAACTTAAGCCTGCGCTTATTGGATATCAAGTGACCAACTTGTGATGATCCTTCTTTGGGGGGAGGGGGGTGTTAAGTGGGGTCAGCTGAATTGCTCTAAGGTAACTTGCTTGGCAATGGAATGTCAGAATTGAGCTCCCTCACTCACCTCAAAGAAAATGCAGCTAATTTAGGCCCATTTAGCATTGCCTGGGCTTCAACCTCGGAGCTATCTCAGCGCACACAGCTGCTTACTGAATAAAATAGTTTAGCTGTCAGAGGGGTAGCCACACCCAACATTGATTTGATTTAAAGAAATATACTTCTCCAACCTGCTTTTATAATTTATTAAATTATTCTGTCATGATTCTGGTTCTTTGTCTTTTATAGAACTTTCTTTAACTGGACTGAAAAATCAACCAGACCTGCCTCAGGAAGTCTAATTCAGCTTATCACAACTGGGAACAAGACTGAGCTGGTTCCTGCTCAGCTTTAAGATGTAATTAGTACACAATAGGAGTGTCCTAAAGTTTGATTTTGCTTATTCCAAATTGATTGTGCCATTTAATATATGTACTAGGAAATGTCAATACTGGTATTAATATGGGGAGAAGGAACAATAGAACAAAATGCTTGATGGTGACATTTGAACTTTGTGGAGTCCTGTACCTCAGTGGTTAGAGCACTCGCTTTGCAAGTGAGAGACCTGAGTTCAATTCCAGGCAGGGCGAAACCTTGGGCAAGTTTCCTTACTCCACACGCCTAATAATAATCCCTCCAAAAACCAAAAAACAATAATAAATTGGTCATTTTCAATCCATGACTGTTTGTGGGACATTGCTGTGCACAATTGGCTGCCGCGTTTCACCCACAAATATACGGTCAATTCACTTTACAACATATTCTGTGAAGCCCTTTGAGACGTCTAGAAGACGTGAAAAGCGCTATATCAAATGCAAGGATTATTATTATTATTTGTCACTGACAAGTTCCTGTATACTGTTTCTCCTCTCTGTGCTTGAACCTATCCCTTCATTACTTTTTTCTTCCCATCTTGGGTTTGTATTTCTAATTTTTGACTTTCTATAATTCCTTTTTTCCTTCTCTTCCTTCTAATGATCTGGAAACTGAAGATAGTAATGTTGTGTGGTGATCATCAGCTCTGGTTCAGAGTCAACACATTAATCTGTTTTGTCCTACAGTTGCCTTTCCAATGTCCTGTTTGAAATATTGTCACCTGCGATATGTTCAGAATTAAAATCACAGTATTTTAAATTTACATCTGGACTTAATCTGAAATTTAACACTCACTGGAAGCTCAAAAGCTCTGAGTCAGATCTTCAGTTCAAACTTGTGTTTGGCGTCTGATGAGAATCCTTGCTCCCCTCCTATGGGCACACATACGGACTGCTAATTCAATACAGTGCAAAGTGTGAGTTGCCTCCTGTAGAAAGGTGCATCAAATTCAATTGGATTCAGAATTCAAACAGAGTTTGAGCGGAGGAAACAATGAGGCTTCTTCTGAGTCAGACCACTGCCCTTTCACTTCTGGAATTAAGGGAGGGAGAGAAAGAGAGTTCAATTAAATCCACTCCAAACTGATAGGGTGAAAGACTCCTGCTGACTGTAAAGGTCTACAGTGAGATGAAATCATAGCCTCCCCACTGCCCTTCTTCTCTACCTCAGACTATTAATACGGGAACCCAAAGCAGTGTGTGACAACTGGGAACCAGAAATGAAGAGAGAAAACTGAAAATATGAGAAGAAAATTTAAATGCAACCCAAGAAAGTAAGATAAATATAATTGTATCATGTAAATGAGATACAACCAATAGATCATTTAATAGGGCAGCAAACCACTAGTTCTGCCAGAATCAGTCTATTTTATCCACATTAACTGTTTCTTTTGTTGCAGCAAGGAGACACATTGAATCCACTTGTGTATGATTTCTTTCCATTCAGTACTGGTATCTATCTACCCATTCCATTCGAAAAACTGTTTGTTGACTCCTTTGATCTCATTTGTGTTACAAATTTAACAGTTGCAACATCAGTTCATGTTGCCAGTTTCGTGGTACATTTTCACTTAAATGTTGTTCTGAATGTTCCAGTTTAATAGGTAGAATGCTTTACCTGCCTGTGATGAACTATCATGGATGATTCTCTGCATAACACAGTACCTTGTGTGAACATCTTGCTGCTTTTTACAAATGTATTTTTGTACTTAATGTAATGTTATCTTGACACAAGTGTGGATGTGTTGTGTAAAATGGAGATGAGAAGTTATTGATGCCCCTATCCAAACATTGCAGCCTGCCATAATTAAAGCAAGTTATATATCCTTGTTAGTTCCATTTTTGTTCTAGCCTCCTGCTGTTCCTCTGCAGAAGTACTGAATCAACAACAACAAAATTACATTTATAGAGCGCCTTTCACGTCGGGAGGATGTCCCAAAGCGCTGAACAGTCAGGGGTCGGGACCCGAATCATTGATGTTGTGCAGGTACAGGGTACTAGCACCCTCCTAAACCTAATTCAAGGGTCTCAGCTTTTGTGTATGAGCCAAGAGATTGCTTTTCACGTCTGTTTAACTATAAGGGGACATTTACAAAGACTGTCAATAGAAATGAGATAGCAATAGAAAGAGGAACACTAATTGAGATAACCTAACTTGACATAAGACCAGGAGCTGAACTTTTTTGATCTGTATGGTTGCCTACACCAGGCAATACCTTTAACTATCTGGCAAGCTGCTGATTTTATATTTTTATTACCTCTGATGTGTTTTGGGGGTATCTAACCTTCACCCTCCATGAAGCAACCAACCTAAAACTACCCCTACACAATTTCTCCCCAACCTCCCAAAGATAATCATCATAGTTATCCAAACTCATCTCTGCTGTTCAACCTCCTGGACAGCTATCTGTTTAGCATTTGCAGCAGCATAAGGACCATAATATTCCCCTGGAATATTTGATCATACATGGCCATCATCAAAATGGATAGCTTTTGTTCCATAGCTTTCATTCCATCTCCATATCTTTATCTAGTACATGTTTTAAGTTAATTGACTGCATAAATTTCTTTTGCAAAATGTCTGTTGCAAATTTTCATAGCTTTGAGACTAAAGGTTCTCCTTATCAGTAACATTGCTTGAGGCTTATTTTGTAGATATAGTTGTATCCTTTAATTCTATGTTTGTACCATAACATTGCAAAGCTGACTATAACTGAAACAATAAGAACATTTATATTTACAATGATGTGGGAGGTTTATGGTAACGTGATTTATACAACAAAATGCATTTATATAGCGTCCTAGAGCGCTTGACAGTAGCTGAGCATGACACCAAACCGGTGGGAGGGGGCGGTCTTCAGGCACGACCTGAAGATGGGGAAGGAAGGGGTAAGGTGGAGGGTTAGAGGAAGAGTGTTCCAGAGTTTTGGGGCACAGTGGCTGAAAGTGTGGCTGCCGATGGTTGAACAGAGGGCACGAGGGACATGCAGAAGTCTGGAGCAAGTCGAGCGAAGGCAGTTGGGAGGTACTATGGCATGAATGGCTTTGAAAAGAAATGTGAGGATCTTGAAATCGATCAGATTTGACGATGGGTTCCAGTGTATCCTGGGGATGGGGGTTCGGAGTTTAGTGCAAGTGAATATGCAAATTGGGTGTGTCCATCCATTTCTCTTACACATACTTGCCATTTGATTTTCAGTCAATGACATCAAAACATCTTAGCATTTATATAATAATTTTGAAATTGATAACTTGCAAATTAAAATAAAGCGAACATATTTAATGTTGTAAATAGAAAGGAAATATTTCCCTCTGAGAAGGAGAGACATGTTCTATCAATTCTTACATTTGGTATTGCATCTTTCACATCAGGAGGACGTCTCAAAGTGATTCACAGGATATATTGTTCAATGTAGTCACCATGTATTTGTAGATGAATGCAGCAGCCAATTTTGTGCACAGTTTTGTCCTACAGAAGCTATTGAAGGGAATGACCAATTTTATTTGGAGGCTTGTTGTTCCAGGGCCACAAGGAAAATTTCCCTTCTCTTTTCAAATAGTGCCATAGTATCTTTAACATCCACCTGAGCAGGCAGATGGGATTTTAGTTTAACGTCTCATCCGAAACATGTCATCTGCAACAATACACCACACCCATCACTGCACTGGAGTGTCAGCCTATGTGAGTCTAACCCTATGTGAGTTCCAAATCCCTATCTGAGGTTCAGAACACAGGGTCTGAGTCACAGGCTACCACTGAGGCAGGCTTACACATGTTGCAGGATAAAATTGATGATATGTTGAGCATTGTAGCTGAATAAGGTCAAAGGTAACCTAAAGAGGTATGAACAATATTAACCCTTGGAGTGCCACAATTAAAATCTTGCCACAATGACATTTGCCACAAAGAGAGGGGGCACTAACCAATATGCTCACTCGCAGTGCTCATTTTTTCTTTTAGGCACAAAATTCATGTCAGCAGTTGACAAGATTACATCTGTCATGTAGTCCTGCCAGTCATTGATCTTTGAAGTTTTCATAAACTGCAAAACAGACCCATCAAGTCACTTGTCAGCCAATAAGTTGGATGGTGAAAGCTGAATGATAGTTTTTATAGTTATAAATAGGTCAAGCATAGAGATGGTTAACAGAAACAGATGGTTAAAATAAAGAGATAGGGAAGACAAGAAAATGTTCTACAAGAGAAAAAATAATGGCAGAAGAAGCTCGCATTATTTTCAAAATATATTATTTTTAATTCAAACTGTTTTTGTATTTAAGTTAGATTTAAGATTACAGTTACACAATTCTACTGTTATAAAAGTTTAATGACTGCAATATTTATTTTAGACTCATTGTGAGTTAGATGAAAATGTACAGAAATTATCAACTGTGAGAGGATTCTCCAGCAGTCTCCTGGTTAAAAAGTACAGGTAATTAAAGGGCTTAACAGTCTAATTGTCATGTAACAAGAACTTAATATACAGGTTTGGAGGGAACAATAAAATTCAAGTGTTCACTCTCAAAGTAAAACACATAATTCTCCATTACTCTATCTCATATATCTCTCAATCAATTTATTAACAAAACAACTAATTATTTCTTGAATTTGCTACTGCAATCTGCCTTCACCACCTTTGTCTCATAGGGTTGTTTGTTAGTGAATATTTACATTTTATGCCTGTGTATTACTAAACTGAGACCCTTATACAACAACACATTATACCGTATTGTGTTATTGTATCAGTTAGATCTGTCTGTATATATGCACATTGTTTTAACAACAAAATAGTGCGTTTGTTAGTATATCTATCTCTTGAATTAAATATGCATATATAACTATTGTATTTGTACATTATTTAGCTGTCTGTATTATTGTGTGTGTACAGTCTATTAACCAAATTCAGGGCTATAATACTTAATACCTAAAGTAAATAACTTTACTTTGTTTTAACAAAAATATGCACATTATGTAGTCCTCTGAGTACATTATTTGGCTATGTGTACTATTGTATATTTCATCATTTAGCTGTATATTACATTTCTAAATTATTTGGGTGTGCATTGAAATGTGTTTATTATTTTATTTCTGTTACATTATTTAGCTGTGTGAATGTGCTCTGGGACACTACCCTGCGTGAGGGGTGCTATATAAATGCAAGTTTTTGTTGTTGAATGTATGTGAACATGAATTAGCAGTGTGTAATGTACGTGGACATTATTTGGCTGGGTATATGGTATATTGTATTTGGACATTATTTAGTTATGAATATTGCATGTGGATACTATTTGGCTGTGTTTAATACAGTAATATGTGGACACTGTGTGGCTGTGTGTGTAGTGTGTGTGTGGACACTGTGTGGCTGTGTGTGTAGTCTGTGTGGACACTGTGTGTGCAGTGGACACTGCGTGTGTGTGTAGTGGACACTGTGTGGCTGTGTGTGTAGTGTGTGTGTGGACACTGTGTGGCTGTGTGTGTGTGTAGTGGACACTGTGTGGCTGTGTGTGTAGTATGTGGACACTGTGTGTCTTTGACCGAGCCTTCAGCTCCCCTCTCGACTCTCTTCCCCCTCCTCGCTCCCTCCCTTCCCTCCCCTCACCCTGACCATTTCCCCCCTCCTCGCTCCCTCCCTTCCCTCCCCTCACCCTGACCATTTCCCCCCTCCTCGCTCCCTCCCTTCCCTCCCCTCACCCTGACCATTTCCCCCCTGCTCGGGTCCTGACCCAACTGTGCAGCGCCTTGGGACGTCCTCCTGACGTGAAAGGCGCTTTATAAATGGAATCTTGTTGTTGTTGTTGTTGTGTGGCTGTGTGTGTAGTGTGTGTGTAGTGGACACTGTGTGGCTGTGTGTGTGTGTGGACACTGTGTGTGTAGTGGACACTGTGTGGCTGTGTGTGTAGTGGACACTGTGTGTGTAGTGGACACTGTGTGGCTGTGTGTGTAGTGGACACTGTGTGTGTAGTGGACACTGTGTGTGTGTGGACACTGTGTGTGTAGTGGACACTGTGTGGCTGTGTGTGTGTGGACACTGTGTGTGTAGTGGACACTGTGTGTTTGTGTGGACACTGTGTGTGTAGTGGACACTGTGTGTTTGTGCAGTGGCCACTCTGTGTGTGGTGTAGTGTGTGTGTGTGTGGGGGGGGGGGGGGTGGTGCTGGTTGGTTGGTGGCTGAGAGCCCCCTGTTCTGGAGGAGCCCCCGCCCCTGCCTGGCTGCCTGGCTGCCTGTTTGCCTGCTGGCGGCCTGTCACTCAGCTGATGCCGGGCTCCAGGTGAAGAACTGCAGCCTGGAACTGAGGAGAGAGAGAGAGAGAGAGGACACCCTGAGAGCAGCTCTGCATCCTGTGCAGCGGCTGGTAAGTCTGTGTCTGGGGCTGTGTCTGTGTCTGGGGCTGTGTCTGGGGCTGTGTCTGGGCAGCACTGCCCGGGGAGAGGAGGAGGGGGTCAGCACAGCCTCTCACACACTCCCCTTAAGAACTGCACTCCCAGGCTCAGCCCTGGGCCCTGGCACTCACATACACGGTCACCATCTCTCTCCCTCCATCACCATCTCTCTCTCCCCCCTCTCCCCCCTCTCTCCCCGAGCCCGGCTTCTGGGGTGGGACAAAGTGGTGCCCTCTTACACAGCGGAGCGAGCGGCGCCCTGTGTGTGTGTGTGTGTGTGTGTGAGTGAGTGAGAGTGAGACAGAGAGAGTGCGTGAGAGAGAGTGAGTGTGTGAAAGAGTGAATGAGCGTGAGAGAGAGTGAGCGTGAGTGAAAGGGTGTGAGAGTGAGTGTGTGAGAATGTGTGAGAGTGGGTGTGTGTATGTGAGTGTGTATGTGAGTGTGTGTATGAGTGTGTGAGAGTGAGAGGGAGTGAGTGTGTGTGAGAGTGAGTGTGTGTGTGTGAGAGTGAGTGTGTGTGTGTGAGAGTGAGTGAGTGTGAGAATGTGTGTGAGTGAGTGTGTGTGAGTGTGTGAGAGAGTGAGTGTGTGTGAGTGAGTGTGTGAGAGAGTGAGTGTGTGAGAATGAGAGTGTGTGAGAGAGAGAGTGAGTGAGAGTGTGAGAGTGAGTGAGAGTAGCGCTGTGTCCCCAGGAACACAGAGAGAGAGAGAGAGAGAGAGAGAGTGGGGGAATGAATGAATGAATGGATAGGATGAACATATGGATCATTGAATGAATGGATTTGGCAGCACCTTTTGTTTCACTGCCTGTTCTCTCCCCCCACCCAGTCAGCCAAGGTTTATTCTCCTTGCGTTCCCCCCCACCACCAATGTGTGCGTCTCAGGTTGTGTCTGACTTTAATGGCAAACTTGTGCACTGGCTCCAACTTTTCTCGGTGTTGAAACCAGGAAAGTGATGCGGAGACACAAAGTGTGTGTCTTCAAGCCTTTGATGTGTTTTTTTTTGTTGCTTTGTCTTGAAATCCGTGCAGATCGACTTCAAACTGCTGTGTCTGTGTGTGTGTGTGTGAGTGAGTGAGTGAAAGAGTGGGTGCTACAACTTAACAGGCAGCAGCAGTTGGGGAAAGTTTTCTAAAGCTATAATTCAGATTGCAGAACCAATCTCTTCTGCTGTGATTCAAAGTTTCACGAAAACAGCTTGCATTTTACTTGGACAAGCACTTTGAGATGTCTCAATGATGCGATAAGACACTATATATCAAATCCAAGTATTATTATTTATGTAGTGCCCTTCGCATGGGGTAGAGTCTCAACAGTTAACAGTTGTGGAGCCTGACTCCAGCTTAAAGTCAGTTTAAAAGCCGACTTTAAGGTTGTTGCGGTTGCCACACACTTCTCCACTGACCCTTTTTTTTCTCTGTCTCGTAATCAAAATGGAACAGTTGAACTTATATCAAAAATACCTTTTGTACGACTCTTAGCCACTAGTAGTTTAGTTATCTCCATTTTAGGTTTGTGTGTTGGAGGTGGGGAGAGAGTCATTTTAATTTGGATTTGGATCCTTGTAGAAAATGTTTATTTTATGCTTTTATCTTAAAGCTCAGTTTGTGTGCGACTGTTTAGAGAGAATTACTACAAAATAAATAGAAATCCATAAATGTATTGTATTTAAACTTGCATAGATGTGTATGTGTTTGTGATTGTGTTGATCTATTGACATTGTACTGATATATTGTGCTGATTAATCACATTTTTTGTAGCAAGTTACCAAGGCTGCCAGCATATTTATGATCTGCCACTCTGCATTTTTATTGGATTTATTCACCAAATTCTTATTCTGTGAAACATTTCAGATATTGTATCAACAATTAAACGTTAAACTCTTGTCTGGGTTTTAGTTCATTGTATAAGAACAGAATTTAGGTTATATTCCCCAGAGCTCAGGAGGTTAAGGGGTGATCTGGTTGTGGTGTCTAAAATAATGAAGGGATTTGAAAAGTGAGATAGGGGACCTCTTTTCCCTCTGTTGGAACGATCCAAAACAAGGAACATGATTTCAAAATTAGAGCTAAACTGTTTAGAAATGGGATCAGAAAATATTTCTTCACACAAAGGATTGGGAATCCAAAGCCCCAGAAGGCTGTGGTGCAGAATTGATTAGGGCGTTCTTAAAGTGGGGGGATGGTGGGAGAGAGATAAGTATATACTCACAAAGTAAGGTTATTAAAAAATATGTAGACAAGATAGGAACATGGGATTAAAAGATCTGCCATGATCTATTAAAATCGCAGATCATTCAACAATCTAATGATAAACCTATTTGATATAGCACCTTATCACATTGTCGAAATGTCTCAAATCACTTCACTTTATTTACTGTAAAGTATAGTGACTATGTATTTGTAGATGAACAGCCTGCTGTGGTGCCTATTTCCAGTTTATCTACAAAATATACAGTCACCACACTTTAAAGTAAATCGGGTAAAACGCTTTAAGATGCCCTCTTAATGTGAAAGACGTTGTCTCAAATTCAAGGATTATTAATGTTTATTTGGGTTTATTGCCTCAGCTGATGCTCCAATGTGCTAGAGGAGAGTTGCGTTGTTGGAGTGCCATCCTACAGATGAGATGATAAAGCAAGGTCTCATCTACCTGTTCAAGAGGACATTAATGATCCCATGGTGCTATTCAAAACGTGAATGGAATTACTCCTTGTCCTTGCTAACAACCCTGCAGATAAAATTGGTCATGCATTTCATGGGTGTTCGTGGGACATTGCTTCATGCAAAGTGGCTGCTATGTGTGCCTGCAAAATAAAGCTACTACAGTTCACAACAAAATTCCGTGAAGCACTTGGAGATGTTTGATATTATGATAAGGTGCTATAACAAATGCATGGAATATTATCATCATAGAAGAATGTTAGGAATTGCAATATGCCTTTGGCTTCGCTTTGGCGTGAACTGAGCAGCTGACACATGTGTGTGAAAACATAACCCAAATGATTTGGATTTTTTTTTCATGTGTTTTTATACATCACTGAGCGCTCACTTAAGCATATATAGGAAGATGGGAATGAGATTGACTTTCTTAGAGCATTATCAGCTTAGTAGATGCTGCTGCCTCTTAGTTAACAAGGCTGACTAAACAATGTTTCCTGTGAACTAGGAGGGGTTTCCAGTATTTAGTACTGGTTACAAATACATAAGTGTATAAACGATTATATGTACATTGTCCTGGTCAACAATCCCCAGATAAAATTGGTTATTCACTTTGTGGTTGTTTGTAGGACATTGCTGTGAACAAATTGACTTTCACATACAAATACACAGTTGGTGTACTTCACAGTAAATTCCATGCTGTGTTTTGAGATATCTCAATGATATGATATGACTTTGTATCAAATATAAGAATTATCAATTCTTTAATATGTTTCTAACCAACCTTAAAGCCTATAATATTCTGTACCTGTCCTTCGGATGAAACGTTAAACCGAGGTCCCATCTGCCTGTTCAGGTGGATGTTAAAAGATGTCATGGCACTATTTGAAAAGAGAAGAGAATTTCTCCCGGTGTCCTGAACAACAATCCCCTAAATAGAATTGATCACTCACTCCATGGCTGTTTGTGGGACATTTCTGGGTGCAATTGTGCTGGCATATAGTTATTCCATTTCACAGTAATTCCTGTGAAGCGCTTTGAGACATCTTTCCAATATTATAATTCACTATACCAAATGAGACTGAGTCTCAGACCTGGACCCTTCAAACTTTCTGTGAATTTAAAGGTGTCTTATGTTTTGCTCTCCCACTTCATCTACATTTGCAATCATGGGGGAAATCCTAGGGTACATTTCATTTTTGTTGTCTAAGGCACATAAGCTCTGCAGAGTGTTGATGGCCTTCAACAAGTCCTCATTTACTTTGTCTGTCAGGCATTCTATCCCACTATTCCACATTGGGATAAGTTAGTGCACTGTACTTGGAGGGGAGATGGAAGTGTTGAGTTGACTCTTTGGTGAGATACCTGATAAAGGGAGGAAAGTTGAGTCAAATCTCTGTGGTGTATTCAGTTATCAAATACCTGAGTCAGGCAGATCTGAAGTACTCCAGGGCACTGCTGCTGAGCTCACCACTTGAACTTGGGGGAGTGGAAGAGGGACAAGGGACAGGATTCTTCTCACTCAGCTCCAAAGTGTGAGCCATTTCTTGTAAATGAGTGATTACATTTATAATAATAATAATCCTTGCATTTGATATAGCGCTTTTCACGTCGGGAGGACGTCCCAAAGAGCTTCACAGAACACACTGTAAAGTGAATTGACTGTATATTTGTGGGCGAACGCGGCAGCCAATTGCGCACAGCAATGTCCCACAAACAGTCGTAGATTGAAAATGACCAATTTATTATTGTTTTTGGTTTTGGAGGGATTATTATGGAAGGTTTATGGAAATAAAACAATTTCCATTATGCCCATCATGATCCTGTCTAATCTTTAATTTGCGAAGTCAGTTGCTTTGTTTCGTATTGAAATTGTACTGAAATTGAGACTTGCTATTGCGCTTTGGTGGTTTCCTGATTTGTAAGTTTGTTTTTAGGAGTTTGGTAATGATACATCTTTGATTTGTATAATATTTTGTCTGTTTTCTTTTGAAGCATGATACATTTTACCTAACATATGATGGGGAAGACATCTGGAATGTTTATCAACCTCACTTTCTTGTGACACATTGTCTCTGAAATGTAACATTTCTAACAGCTGAGTTCTTTTTTTTGGCCAATTTCCTCCTCTACTCTTCAGTGGGATGCAGTCACAAGTAACCATCTCGTACCATGTACAAGTGGCATCTTTGCTGTATGAGCCTACACAGAAAACCATAGAAAATTACAGCACAGAAGAAGGTTATTCAGCCCATTGGGTCCATTGGGCTCTTTGAAAGCGAGCCTTTTGCTCATACCCTTGCAAATTACTCT